ATCCAGAATTTATTAGGAATATCTGAGATAAATCCTACCAAAGAAATAAGAGAAAATGCTAAACAAAAACATATAGATTTTCTAACAGCATGGGTAAAACAAGAAAAACCAGATATAATAAAAACTACTAAAATACGAAACCCTGTAACTAATTCTCCAGGAATAACATTCGAAACAGTACCTAAAGAATTAATAGAAAAAATACATGAAACAATCAGAGTTACTAAACCATGATTTAGATCAGGATCTGGAAGTACACAAAATAGTAGTGAACTAGAAGATGACTACTATCAACAACTACATGATAATCAAAAGAATTATCAACAACAACCTAAAATATCAAATTCAAGTGTATCTAGTATCGAACTAGAAAATATTATTAAAACCAATAATGAAGATATTGTTAAAACTAATGTATTAGGGCAAGTAGAATACTATTCACCAGGTCAAGAAAGATCACAAGTAATATTCATAAAACCAGAAACAATCTAATTACCACCAAAATCTCAAGAAATGGTTTAACAACTACCAAAATCACCAAACTGGTGGCAAAGAAATATATTTAAAAAACGACAAGAACCAGACTTAAGACATAATGTAGTAAAAGATCAAGTGATAACAAATATCCATGAAGAAGAACAAAATGATGAATTTTATAGAAAAAGACAGATTCATTCGATGAAAGACATAATCAAGAAATAACATCAAAACAAATATCTACACCTCAAACTATTGTTGAAGGAGAACAATTACAATTCCAAGAAGAATATTATAGCAACGATAATGATGAAATGGATACAAAAAGTAATAAAAGTACAACTACTGATGAATTGTTATATATTGAAAAAGAAATATTCAATATCGAATTATCTCAATACTAACCACAATTGGCAAGAAACAATAAAATGACAATACACCATGAACTAGCTCATATACCAAATGAAATACGAAAACATATCATACCAATATTAGGAACAGGAATACCATGTTATACTAATCAAGAATACACGCTCAGACCATATACATGGACTGCAATTAATATATCTCAAAAAGGAAACTATTTAATACAGACACCAATCTATTTAGCCCAAAATGGAATAGTCATACAGAACGGAATAATTAATGATAACAAAATAAGAGTGATTAACTATGCGGATAAACCCATATTAATACCAGAAAAATATTACATAGGTAAACTTGAAAAAGTAACCAAAATAATAGAAATACACGATGCAGAAATACCAAAAGAAAAAGATAAATGAGGGGAAATGAAACCTGAAGAAAAAGAAAAAACTGAGAAAGAACGATATGAAGTATTAATAAAAAATATTATACAAGAATACAGAACTCGAAAGGCACCATTATTTAAGAAATTTATTAATATATTTTGAAGAAAAAATGAAAAAGCAACTACATTTAATGAAAAGTTCTTTGAAC